TGATCAGAGACAAAAATCAAGTCCAGAGTGTGATTCCCCAAGTGGGTGGGGCCTTGAACTACCTGGGTCAGGTCCATGGCCGTCATGGAAGCCATGAACTCCCGAGCCGTGCAAGGAAAAAGTCAGAAAAAAGTGCAAGGAACTGTCAGAAATCACTTTTTTCAGCCCTCTGGGTAGTCCCTATCTGCATATGGACTATTCAGAGGGCTGAAAAAGTTATGTTTGACCAGTCCTCGCACTTTTGACCAGTCCTCGCACTTATGACTGTTCTCACATTTTATGTTTTTTTGCCCTATTTTGTCACCATGGTGAAGAGAAGCAGTTGTGAAATGAGTGACATGGTTGTTAAGAATGCTGCAATGGGCATAAATATGAGGATGGTTCTTCTCTTCTGATTGGTTCAACTGAGTGCTCATAATTTTCTCCCCTGCAGTCCTGGTCCCGCCCACTCTGCCTCACACCATCAGTCTTTTTCACGAAGTATCTCCAACCGGCGAAGACCAGAGAAGTCGATGAACAGCACCTCCAAACTCCAACAAGGACTGCAGAGGTAATAAAAGGAAAACCCAACCATGGCAGGGGATGGCTGGCCAACAGGCGGGCTGGATTGTCGTCGCAGCGAGCATAAAAGAGACATTCAGGTAGGACAACGTCCATTTTCCTGACTCGCTGCTCCGACAATCCTACTCATGGGACATGCCCAAGCTCACGGGAACCGGAGCCATCCCCTGAACATAGGGGGAAATTACAGATTGTAAAACACGTCTGTCGAAAGAAGCATCGGCAGAAGCAAAAACATCCAAATGGTAATGTCGAATAAAGGAGGAAAGGGAGGACCAGGTGGCCGCCCGACAGATGTCATCTATAGAAGCCTGAGTAGCCCAGGCCACAGAAGTGGCAGCACTCCGTGTCGAATATGGTAAGATCCCATCCAGGATGGAACCCCCTTGCAACTCATAGGCTTTGGAAATATAGGCTTTAAGCCATCGCCCCACAGTAGCAGAAGAGACCTTCTGTCCCATTGATGAGGGCAAAAAGGACACCAGCAAGGCCTCCATCTTCCTAAACGAAGAGGTACGTTGGATGTAATGCTGCAGAGTCCTGCGGATGTCCAAAGTATGCCACTTCTTTTCTAGCGGATGGCGTGGGTCCGGACAAAAATTTGGTAGAACGATCTCTTGTGCCCAGTGGAATCTAGAATGATTTTGGCCACAAACGCTGGGTCGAGCCCAAGAACTACATGATCTGGGAAGAAGACACAAAGATCCTGGCGAATAGAGAGCGCCGCAATCTCAGAGACTCTGCCAGCCGATGTCACCGCCAGGAGGAAAGCCATCTTCAAGGACAAGTAACGCAAGGAAGCCGAACCCAGGGGCTCAAAAGGCGCTGATGTGAGAGCTTGCAATACAAGGGTAGGATCCCAGGTAGGATAACGGTGTATTACGGTCGGACATAAATTCGCAGCCCCGTGCAAAAAGGATCTAATCCTACGATCATGAGAGAAAGACTGTTGACCACCACCAGTCAAGACGGTAGCTAAAGCCGCCACTTGCCGTCGAAGAGTAGATGGAGCCAAGCCTTTGTCGAAACCAGTCTGCAGAAATTGGAGAACGTTGGAAACGGAAGCCAACGTAGGATCCACAAGGTTGGAAGCGCACCACTGCGCAAAGGTCCTCCAGGACGCGTTGTAAATGTGTACGGTCAAAGACTGCCTGGCCGCTTGAATGGTAGAGATGATTCCAGGAGAAAGGTTATCCTTCTTTAAGATGATCCTTTCAAGCGCCAGACGGTCAACTGGAGCAAATCTGGATTCGGGTGGAGAATGACACCTTGGCTCAGGGACACTCGGTTGCAAGGAATGCGCCATGGGGCCTCGACAGAAATGTCCATCAAATCGGCGAACCACGCCCTTCGTGGCCAATGAGGCGCCACCAGGAGAAGATCTGCCTGTTCCAGAATTACCTTCCGGATCACCCTGGGAATGACCAGAAGCGGGGGAAATGCGTAGAGGATACCTTTGGGCCACGGGGAGCGGAGGGCGTCGTGGCCTTCTGCGCCTGGAGAAGGGAAGTGGGTGAAATATTGTGGAAGCTGCGCATTTTGAGACGTCACGAACAAGTCGACGGTTGGAATCCCGAACTTGGCGGAAAGGTCGTGAAACAGTTGGGGATACAATCGCCACTCCGATGGATCCAAGTGACCCCTGCTGAGGTAGTCCATTTGCAGATTGGCCTTGCCCAATATGTGCTCTGCTTTTAGTGAGAGGGTATGCTGTTCCGCCTAAGACATCAACCTTTCTGTCTCCGCCATCATCTCCCTGGACCACGTGCCCCCCTGTCGATTGACATGGGCCTTTGTGGCCATATTGTCTGTTAGAATGAGAATATGTTTTTTGCGCACCTGAGGGAGAAAATGAGCCAAGGCCAACCGCACTGCTCGGAGCTCCAACCAGTTGATGCTGTGTCGGCGTTCCAGAGGGGACCAAGTGCCTTGCGCAAGGAATGACTCCAGATGGGCGCCCCACCCAAACAGGCTGGCATCCGTGGTAAGCGTGACACTTATGAAAGTGTAAGGATCAGTCAAAAGTGCAAGGACCGGTCAGAAATGACTTTTTCAGCCCTGAGTAGTCCCTATACACATAGCCATGGCCACCCAGTCACATAATCAGCTAGCCATGCCCACTCAAATAAGCCACACCCACAGAACCGGTTATTAAAAAAATTGAATCCCACCACTGATCCTATCCCCTTTTCTCACTCGGCCTTGCCCCACAGAAACCTCCCCTATCCTATCCCCTGCTTGCTGCTGTGAAAGTAAAACTGAAACTGAAACTCCTCTGCTTCTGTTTTGCATTTGGAACAGATTTCTTTTCAGGTGGGGAGGGGGAGTAGAACTCCTTAGGATCAGAGTGTGTTAATAATAATATAGGAAATACTAATGCTCTGATGGTCATTTCGAAAAATCCTTTCTTAGTGAGCACCTAGAAGCCAAGAGGAACATATGTGGCAAATTTCAAGTTTGTAGGCTTTATGGTTCTGGAGATTTTGTGATGGTGCGTGAGTGGTATTTCACTTATATATATATATTGATACAGCATCACCAAAACCTAAAAAACTAAAGCCCTCCAAAACATTGTAAGTAAACTAAATGACCCAGTAGCCCAAGAACAAAGAATAGGACTTAGCTACAACATACACTGTAAGGACTGTAACAGTTGCTGTATGGGACAGACAGGAAAGGCAAAACATTAGGCGAGGATATCCATGAGCACCAACTAGCAGTCAGAAGACACAATCAAAACTCCTTAATCTCACAACACATGGATAGACTCAGCTGGGAAACTGAGCATACTAGACCAAGCTAAATTCCCAAATGCTAGGGAATTCCTGGAAGTTTGGCATTCTTGACATATCAGCCATCAATAGACACATTTACACCCTATTCAAGAGACAATAAAAAGGCTGAGTAAACAGAAATATCACAACACATTCTTTCCTGCAGCCAACAGCCAGATAAGCAGAGATTCTCATTGCACTGGTGTTGGAGGGATCAAGGTGCTTCCAGGTTGAAAGGATTAGCTGGTGACATTGTTGTCCAGGGGACCCAGTCGGGGGCTCCTTTCATGTCCCCAGCAGAAGCTAGAGCAAAGGACAGGAGATCACTTTGTCCCATGGGAGCACTCAGGTCTCAAACATGAACTTGCTGCTTGTCAAGCCAGTGTCCTAACCATGCAAGCGACCATGCACATAAGCAGGGATTAATACCAGATGAAAACAACCAAGCAGAAAATGAACTATCAATATAGTTCCTTGTGGTGTATGTACATGTATCCTTCTGATATATGTTCATATATGCTCATTCCTTAATCTCACACTCATTCTTTAATCACACACATGGACAATGTGCACAGGTTATGTTCATATATATTCATATATACTGTTCATGCATAGTACGTTCACATATCCCTTGATATATGAATCTAGTCTGTATATGAAATCATGACTCTATTACTTGATAATTAAATCAGCTTGCATATTAAGTAAGATACTCAAAAAATAAGAAATAAATGTTCTGCCATAATTCATAATCAATAATTCCGCCCCTCGGAAGCTCCATTTCGGTCTGCAATGGGCCTGTGGGAGGCCTGTGGAGGCCCGAACAGAGTGTCGGAGGGCTGAATCCATCCCTTGGAAGCTCCATTTCGACCTGCAATCAGGGTGAGGCCTGTGGAGGCCCAAACGGAACTGCATAGGGGTGCACATGGCTGAGAGGCTGGAGAGGAGACTGCTTGCTAAATTTTCACAATGTAAGTGACCTGGCACGGCAGGTTGGTTTGGGGGGGGGGGAGCAATTGTGGGAAGCATGAGGTATTTCAGTGGGTCAAGGAGGCCTTGGGTGGTCTTAGGTGGCCTAAGCCCCCCCCCCCATGGCCTTCCCCATCCTGAAATACCTCATGTGCACTTAATGAGCCTCACATTCGATTACTGAATGCATGGGCGAAAGGAGGGAGTGATCCCATTCAAGGTACGAGATTCACTTCCACAAATCCTCGGGTTACGAAGGGAATGGCCAGGCTCCATTCCATTCATAACTTGAAGACTACCTGTATTTCTCAAAACACTATGTGGAACCATGTTCCAAAACCCCTAATTAAAATGAGCTATTTTTTATTTAATTGCCATTGTGTAAAACCAAAGGGGAAAACCTAATATGCTTAATTCAGCTGTAAATAGAAGAAAATAAGAATGTCTATCTATTGGTGGCCCGAGAGGCTGTATTTATAAAAGTGTATCCATTTTCTTAGAAACCAAGTATGTTACGAATCATGATACACTGTATATGCAGAGACACATTCAGCTGAATGAGTAAAATCTTTTATGAGAATCTTAGCAATTATTATATGAAAAAAAGAAATTAGAACAATCATTAACTGCAAGTTCTGAGGCCCTTAAATTGCTTTAAAAGGAAGAGAATAATGCATTAAATATTTATTTTAGTACCTGGAAAGCTATAGCTTGACTGAGACTATCAAGAGCAGGATCTTCACCCTCATCTTCACTTTCTTCTTCTCTGAACAGCACAAAGGAAACAGAAAAACCCACATATATTGAATTGTATAGAGCAGGCACATAAATTAGTAAATGAGAATAGGAATATGTGTTGTACATATTTTACTCACATTTCTTCTTCTGGTTCAATTACTTTCTTCCTTTTCTTTTTGTCTTTCTTTTTGGGAGGTTCACGCTCTCCTAGCATGTTTTTCGGACATGCATAACTTAAATGTCCTATTTCCTTAAGAGAAAGGAAATAATATTGAACAAGGTGAATTTGGAGATTACTTTTTACTTCTTCATAAATTTACCTTGTAAATAGTAGATTTGTATTCATTTATAATTACTCTTAGAAAATGTAGCGTTGTATGTAGTTTAAAAAGTTATCTGAACTGACTATCAACTGATAACCCAAGTGTGTATAGTTTCAGTGGATGGCATTAGTTAAGAACATGACAAAAACATCAACATTTACTCACTCCACATTCATAGCATTTTGACTTGTCATAGTAATTTCTCCTTCGAATGAATTCTGCAGCTCTTCCATTATCAATAGCAATACTTGCTTTTATTACTCTTCCAAATAGCTAAAAAAACCAATAAATACAATTTTAGCTTTCAGAATATCTCAAAAGTTACTTAATAATATACCCTTGTCACTTACTTGTTTATTATTAAGTGCCCGAGAACAGTTTTGTGCTGACTCTTTATCCAAGAACAAAATAAATGCAACTCCTTTACTTCTTCGTGTGTCTTTGTTTTTCATAATTGTAACTCTAGAAAAAAAAATACTGATACATTCACATACTATTACAACACAGAGAGGCAAGCCTTACAGTTATTCAGGTTGCCTATATTAGTCCCGTTTATTTCAAATTCCAGAAAAAGGGCAGCTATCAAAGTAAACACAGCATGAGAACATCCATAAAAAACTACTAATGAAATTCAAATCATTCCTAATAAATGACAATAGAGAAAAGGTTACTACATTAAACTTGAAGAATAGCCTTTATTGAGAGTCATGATATATGAAAAGTGTTTCTAAAAACAGAGACCTGACAATAAATCAGTCAGGTCCATTCATTAACTATTTGTGGAGCTCCACATTACAAATGTTTGCATAAGACTAAGATCAACAAGTATATTGTCAAGAGTAGTACGTGCCATTATCCTTTTTCATAAAAACATGCTCTTTCAGTTTTTCCTCTCAAATAAGGCTAGAATAAAAATCCGTAATGGTACTACTTATTAAAATTATAAATCTGTTTGACAGATTCTAATTCCAGTTGTTTCAACCTAGTATTGCTGGAATGTAATAGGACTGAGATTCTATTGATATAAAAATTAGCCTGTTTCCTGCCTGATGTAATACCTCTGTCCTTGAAGATACTTGGCACTTCAAGTATTTTGGACTTGGGGAAACTTCAGCATACACATCTTATTCAATGTAGTTCAGGATGTGATTGCTACTATGACAGGCTATTTAAAGTCATAGATAGCAGACACAGAATAATCTATTATCTGAATTTGGTTTTGTCTGATGTGGATGAAAAATAATACAATTTATATTAGGCATAGTCTCTGATCATTTCCCCCAAAAACCTGTATAAAAGGATGGATTTACCATATGCTACCTCAATAGTGTAGAAGATGTAGGCAGCAATCTTCTCTAAGCTTATTTATTTCAGGAATGAAAAAATAGTTTAGAATATCCAAAGCCAAGCCATAGGGAAACTTTGACTGTACAGATATTGGTGAAATGCAACTCTTAATATCACTCTTCACTGATCTTGCTAGCTGGGCTGCTAGGAGATACTTTAACATTTTATGAAGTGCCAAAGATTTTGCATTCCTGCTGTGCAAGGAAGAGCACAAAACAAAGTGACCAAGACCAGATATACTTTACAGTTCATTTGAAGATTTATTCTGTGGGAATGATGGTCAATAAAATACCGTATTTTTCGGACTATAAGATGCACCGAAGTATAAGACACACCTTAGTTTTTGGGGAGGAAAATAAGAAAAAAGCTGATTGGCGGGTGGATGGCCTCCCGGAATACCCCCAATCAGCTTTTTCCAGAGGTGAACTTTAGCAACAGATTCGTTGGTTGTGAGCTCTGCATCTTGCTTTTTTTTTCAGCCTCTGAAACCTCCCTTTAAGAGGCTTTTTTCAATTTCTGAAACCTCTGTTTCACAGGCTGGGCGGGGCTACATTCATGTATAAGACGCACCCAAATTTTCACCCTCTTTTAGGGGAGGAAAAGGTACGTCTTATACTCCGAAAAATACGGTAACTTCTTAAACTGGTTAAGTAGTGACAGAAGTTCACAAACTTTATGGATCATTGTATTAAACGGTGGAATATTCTTTCTGTTTAGACTTGAGAAAGGGAGAGAGAGAGAGAGAGATTGATTGAGATTGGTCTGATTCCTGTTATACATACCTTTCAGCTAATACATTCTAAACAAGTAAGATACTTGAAAAGATGGGAGCCATTTGCTCTTTGGAACATAATTCAATCTTTTTTTTTATCATTCTGGGTCAGATTCTATTTATGTGTATCAGCTGTGATAAAAGTATTTATAGGTTTCTGGAAAAGGGTAAATATAGAGATGTATTGTGAAATATAGTGATCTGGGTGAGTTGTCATCAGTAAGCAGATGAAATACAATTCTGTTTCTCTCTTCCAGCTTCTAAAATGCTGAGTAGATGATACCCTAATTTTAGAAAATGGAGGTACAGTATCTAGCAGCATTTTGCAAGTAAATGCAGGAAAACAAATTGAAATGTTATAGGTAGGTAATTACCTATAACACTTCAATTTGTTTGCTACATTAGATGATGCTGTACAACATTTAACCTAAAGAACTGAGGTGTTAAAAAGCCATTTTTATGATAAGATTCCAGAAAGCTATGAATAAGCATGATTTTCTTCCTCAATCTGAGATCCTCTCTCAGAGGACTAGGAGTTTGAGAGTTCTTTGCAGTATTTTATTTAATCCTAGCACTGCGCTCTTCTGGACAGAGAACTCTGAAATTGTTCCTGGGATCTGTTGGAGCCACTCTTCTGGCATAGGAGTCATGGGCTTGAGTGCTCTTAATATCACTGGGGCCACTTTGGCCTTTACTTTCCACATCATTTCTAATCCCTCTTTCAGGCCCTGGTATTTCTCTAGCTTCTCATACTCTTTTCTTCCTGATGTTTATGTCACTTGGCACCACTACATCTATCATCACTGTTGCCCTTTGATCTTTTCTACTACCATGATGTCTGGTTGATTGGCTAGTATCTAGGCTGTTGGTTTGAGCTCTGAACTTGGCAATTTGGTTGCAAACATTTCATCCCAATTCGGGGAGACATCTTCAGTGTATTTTGAATTGTGCTCATCCGTCAGAACACAGGACTTTAAATACGGTTTGTTTTTTATGAGATGCAAATTAGTCTGAATGTTGTTTGTTCGGATATTTCTGAGCCATGGTCTGATTTCAGACTGTTTGATTGGCTGGCTGTTGTTGCTGGGCTATAGTTGCAGTCTATCACAGAAGTGAGTACACCGCCTCACATTTTGTAAATATTTAAGTATGTCTTTTCATGTGACAACACTGAAGAAATGACACTTGGCTACAATATAAAGTAGTGAGCATACAGCTTGTATAACAGTGTAAATGTGCTGTCCCCTCAAAATAACGCAACACACAACCATTAATGTCTAAACTGCTGGACGCAAAAGTGAATACCCCCCTAAGTGATAATGTCCAAATGGGGCCCAAGTAGCTGTTTTCCCTCCCTGGTGTCGTGTGACTCGTTAGTGGTACAAGGTCTCAGGTGTGAAAGGGAAGCAGGTTTGTTATATTTGGTGTTATCACTCTCACTCTCTCATACTGGTCACTGGAAGTTCAACTGGAAGTTCAACATGGCAATGAACTCTCTGATTCTCCCTAGAGCTGGATCGAGAGTATCCAGAGTGGGTAGTATCTCTATGTTCTGCATATAGACTGAGCACGTGATCTTCATTTGCATCTCTGGTCACTCCTCCCTCGCCTGGTGCTTCCCCAGTTTGGCTTAGTCTGCATTGCAAACAGACGTGATCGAAGAACGGCTTCACCTTTCTCTCTGTGATCTTCTAAGCGTGAGATTTACAATACTTATTTGGAAGATCGCTTCAGCGATCAAACCACTAGCTGGTCTGCCGGCTAGCAGTCTTGTTCCAGCTTCCAAGGTGAAGTCCCCGCCGCCGCGAGGCAGCGGTAGGGCCTCAACAGGCATTGATCAGAGCAGGGGGTGGGGCCAGGCATTCCCACCAGACGGCAGAGGGGGAATCAGTCCCTGCCCAGTCTGCCTGGGCACACTGTGAAGTGGTGGGAACGCTATTTAGAGCCGCGGCAGTCTCAGCTCTTCGCAAGTGGCTTGCCTTTATTAAATGGGGAAAATGGCATTGCGTACGCCTTCCACCAGCCAGCAGGCCCAGAAAGGGGACAAGAGGACTTGCCCTAATTCCTCCCCGGGCCAGAAACAAGGGGCTTACAGCCAAAGAGCTGCAGCCAAAGGGACAACTACGAGAAGCCAGGCAGCCACTTCGAGTGGCAAGAGGGGCTCCAAATCGGCCGAAAAAGCCACAGAAAGATGTCAAAAGGCCTTGCAAAAAGAGCTGGCTAAGCTTCAGAAGGCTAAAGAAAGCCAGGAGCGAAGTGAGAACCCCAGAGGAGGGATGGAATTTTCCCGCCCTCAAGGACAGGAGCCATTGGATCCCACAAATGATCCGGCTCACTTGCAACCAGCCTCTTATGCCAGGGAGTCCTCCTCTCCCACTTTAGGATATGTCTTGGATAGGGCTGAGGCCTTTGCATTTGCAAATCCCAATTTGTCTGCAACAAGTTTTGCACAGTCATCCACTTCAGGCCCCAGGGCTTCCTTTACTCTGACTGATCCGCCCACAGGAGGAAACTATGTCAGCAATGCCTGCACATTTGCAGCAACTGATTTCTCAGGCTATTACCCAGGGAATAGCCATTGGTTTACAGCAAAGGAACCAACCTTCTCCAGGGGTTCCAATCCATCAGCCTCCAGGGTTGCAACCTGTTTTTTAAGAGGATTTAATGGGGCCTCAGAGTATTCCATCTGGGGCCCATTCAATTAGAAGTGGAGACTCCTCGGCTGAGGAGGAGGACCTGCTGGCCTTTTCTGAGGATGAAGGGAAAGATTCAGAGCCTTCTCCTTTTACAGGCCTTTTCAAACCAGATCTTTTCAAACCCTTGCTTCGCAAGGCCAAATCCATTACAAACATGGAATCTGAGGCAGTCACAGAACCTGACCCCACCCCATGGGGTTCTGGTCACTTGCTCTTTACAGAGCCAGCAGTTGAGGCTGAGGTGGTACCATCGCCCAAACTATTTTTACACATAGTTAAACTGCAATGGCATAATCCGGGGGCAGGACTACCCCCTTCCAGAACTGAACAAAAGCTAAACAATGTAGCTCCATATTTGGCTGACATTTTGCAGGTACCCACAGTGGACAAGCCAGTGACATCGGTTGCTCTGATTCCAACGGATGCAATGGATTGTCTGAGATCTGATGACAAGAAAGCTGAGGTGTTGTTATGTAAGTCCCATCAGGTGGCTGCCTGAGCAGTGAAAGCTGCCACTTCGGCTTCATTCTTTAATCGTGCCTCCCTGCTCTGGCTCCGTTAGATGCAGAAACACATTCCACCAGAAGATCTGAGGGTACACCAAGATAAAAATAAATTAATTGCGGTTGCTGAGTTCTCAGCTGATG